ATAAGGGGATTAAGATGTAGACTTGGCTATTGATCTTCTTTTTAAAATAATCACTATTTATCAAGATCTTCATTGAACTGGTGATAAAGATTTATCACTAAACGCCGAGGCTTATGCCAAATTTTGGCTCCTATAATGCTAAATTACCACTCCTAAACTAGCTGGACCCTAGCTTCAAAGTCAAAATGTAAAATAAGGAAGTCAATTTTCGCCGACCGCAGCTCCAACACCCGAGCGGGGCTTTAAATTCTGCCGATAAACCTCACCTTACCTACGAGTATGTGCACAAAGGTGTATTTCGTGGGTGAAGTGCTAAAAAGCGCAATGAAAAAGAGCTTTTTGAAAAGTAGAACCACCAAATATGGTTTTGTGTACATTCTACCGTAAACCTCTTTCTAAAACGTGCTCCTTTCGTATATTTAACGAGACTTTTTGCCATAAATTTCATTTCATTCAACTCGTTCAACAGGTGTATATGCCGTAAATACTGTGATAGTACCCCACCGGCCTCTAGTGCGTGCCACACTGGTGGGGTACTCTTACAGTGTTTACGGTAGTTAGTAATGGTATTTTGTTCGGGACTTTTCCTTATATTAATTACGTATTTTGTATTGGTTTATAAACAAGATTAAACATTTACAACTCAACATTGATGATAAAAAATGAAGTAACAAACAAAACAGTTGTTACCATCCACAAAAAAAACAGAATAAACGATCTTTCACAACGATCACAATAAGACCTAGGGAAATAGCAAAAATACCTATGGATATGATGCGTCAAAATCGATGAAGATGAGCTTTGTGGCCTCGGTCCTATCTACCGATCGAACTCCACATACGAGCGATGTTTCAGTGGCTCTGAGATCCCAATTATAAGGGCCAGGGTCACTCGAACGAGATCGAACGAGATCACGAATGAAGGTACCTTAAAATGGAAAAAAATTAACAACACGACACTAAACTTTGCCATAGATTTAAGCTTGACTAGCTGACGAGACAAGTTATGTAGTGAATCCATTCTACTTTCAATGCCAGCTTGCAGTCTGGATCTTATTGTCTATAGCATTGAGTAATTTAAAATCGCCACCTTTCTCCACATCCCACAGCATGACCGAGCCATTCATCGAACCTGTCACCAAAAGTCCGGAGTCGAGCAGTTGCAATGAAGTGATCTTCGACGTCTGACCATTTAAGTGGTGAAGGCACGAGCCACCCTCACGAATGTCCCAAACCTAAAGAAATTGAAGTAGTTTTCATAGGCTTGATTAAACATACCCAAACTTCCGAGTCGTAATAGGAGACTAAAATGTTTCCGCGAAGCTGCAACCCAAAGCGACGACCCGCAAACGGTAACTCTTCAAGACAGCCAAGAAGTGCGATGCATGCTGAAAGAAACAAATATAGATGACATTGTCACAGAATAGTGAAAAAGTAAAAACCACTTCCTGTTTGCACATCCCAGACGCGAAACGTTCCGTCACTACCCGCCACGACAAGATCGCGCTCTGGCTCAAACTAAAACAGAATCCTGATTAAAGCCAAAATTCGACAACTCAACTCACCAAAAGTGAAGCAACTAGACTCGTGTGACCGGTCAGCGTGTACAAACACTCCTCCGTGTGTACATTCCAAACCTAATAGAATATTATAAATAGCACTAATAACTGTACAAACCTTTACGGTAAAATCATCACTATTAGATCATCACATAAGTCTTTTAATGAAATCAACCGTAGTTTAATTGGTGCATTTGTTGGCTTGAAACGGCAGACGAAAAGAAACGAAAAGACTTATGCATCAACCTAATAAAAAGTTTATAATAACAAAAACTCTTAAAAAGAATAGTAAAAGGAAAGAGTAAACTCTTGCTTTCGTTGTGAGAATTCGATTCTTTCGATTGATTTTGTTATTAGATTGGTATCGAAGCACAAAAAAACAGATTATTAATTAGAAATTTGAATTTTTCAATGCATTCTATTGTTTCTTAAAATCGATCCCAAATTATGTAAGCTGAATATCGAAAAATATGTCAATAAAGTTACTTTATCATTGTCCTGAATTTTGCATACCAGCAAATTTTGTGAATTCAAAAGAATCTTACCATAAGAGACTGGTGTTAAGTCGATTTTAGCCTTTTCTATCTTTCAATGGGTGTAGATAAAGCAATTGAAAAAGGCAAGGCTTTTCCAGGATCCAGGATGAAAAGATGAAAGGGTAATTTTTAAAAATGAAAGACATTTATCAAAAATTCTGGTTAAAAGCAATCACCCTCTGCATTTCTCATTCTCACAAAGTTCCATTTGATTTGTTTTTCACTGTTCCCTCTCACAAATGAGCTTGGGAATGGGCTCTTTTGTCAGTCAGCTGGCCTTTCCCTTTCCTTCCCTTCCACTTTCCTTTCCCTCTAGGCACTCCACTCGAGAAATTGAGTCACACAGCCTAAAAAGAACATTTAGCTGAAAATCCTAGTTGGTTCTCTGACTTAATTTCAGTTGACAATCTCTATTACTTTCTTAGTTTTTATGTGTTCTCAGTTTCGCACTAAGTTCAAGCCAAGCCTAAGCCTGAGCCAAGCCAAAGCCAAGCTTAAGCCTAAGCCTGAGCCTGAGCCAACTCACCCTTTGCAAATAGCGATACAATGGCCTCGTTGCACTAATGGTCACCACTAAGACAATTCCGCCGACCACCACTGCCCAGATCCATTTCTTGCTTTTTTGCGGCATTTGGGCATTGGGCACAACATGGTGCTCTAAGGAAAGAGATAGCAGAAAAGCCATCGATTTACGATCGGCCATAATAAACCAATAGTTCCTCGCTCTAGTTCCTCGCAGTAGGCTACGTGATGTGATAGATTGATATTAAACTGGGTCTTACACTTCTAAGGTATAGGATGATACTGTTACTGATTCAATAATGTGATTATTCTGCAGCAAAGAAAGCTTTAATGCGAAAGAAAACAAATGATAATGTTTGTTTCGATGAACTGGTTCACATTTAAAAATACGATTAGTAAAGGATTCGTCACAAGCTTCTTACTAACTTCTTTTTGCTCAGTTTTCGTTTTCTCGGAGGCTGGGCGACGAATCGAGCAAATGAGGAAGCGGGAATCACAATCTGTTCACATATGGACGTTCAAGAAGCACATCAGAATCGACGAGAACGCGAGATCGCATATGGCCAGTTAGTGCCGACTTGTTGCTGAATTAAATTTTTTCTAGGTGTTATGAGCGATCCTCATGGAAGTCACTGTACTTGCGGAAGCAGCGAATCATTTCCAATTGGCGATCCCGACCGATTCAATCAAGCACTGTTCTAAAAGTTTGGACAAATGTTTTGGCTATAAAAATTGTTTTTGAGGGTCACGATCAACATGCGATGAATTATCTACAAGTTCAGTCTGGTCGTATCGTTACTTTTTATCATGATAATACGTTGCGGATTTGGAATGTTGATGATGCTCAAGTTTGTTTCGTTTTATCATTATTGTACGTCTTAATTTAGCCGGCTCTCACTCTAACTGGTCATATGGATAGAGTTACGACGTCTGAAGTGAGCGATGATGGTAAATACATTGTCAGGTTAGTTAATAGACTTTAGCTAGTGCAATTGATACGGGTTGCCAATGAATGCTAACAATGCCAATGCTAACAAAATTCTAGACAAAAATACTTGTGAGAACAAAGTCTATTGCATTATTTAAGTGGCGCGTATGATCGAAAGTTGCGCGTTTGGTGTGGTCAAACCGGTGCACAGCGTCATGTTCTGCAGGGGCATACGAGGGAAGTGTGGTGCATGAGTCTACATGGCACAACGTGAGTTATCTAAATTTTGTGCTTTAGCTAAATTCAGATCTGGTTGGTCTGGTTGGTCTGGTCGAATCTCAGGCCCAGCGGCCAAGGTCAGGCCAGACTCTGCTTCTGGATGACTTTACTTGACCTGTCGTTGATCCAGCCTTCTAAACTAAAGGATCGTTTTCATTCCATGTCCCTTGTTAGGATGTAAGGATGTAAGACAGATCGGCTGCTGGTGGTACAAATGGCGCATCGACGATCAAGATTTGTATGCGGTTGTGAAAAAGGTTGTTGTCGTTTTTCTTTAAGAATTAAAAATTTAAACCAACCTCTCCTGCTAACCTGGCCTGATTTCTGTTAGTTAAATTATACTATCTAGTCTTTTCACCTAATCTAGCAGGATCAGCTTGGGTCAAATCTAACGAATTGGCTTTGCTAGTATGACCTAACTTGGCATGAATCTGGTTCCTAACTCTGGCCTAGGCCTGGTTTAGGCTCAGGCTCAGGCTGAAACTTAGACTTAGTGCGAAGGCTAGCGGCTAGCGCCTCGCACGAAGTCTATTTAGGTTTGGGCTAAGCCCCATTTTCTGGATCTCGGCCAGTTCTCAGAGCTAAAGGACAAGCGCTTGGCGATGCTCATGGGTTAGGCTCAGGCTCAGGCTTAGGCTTGGCTTGAGCTTGGCTTGGCTCAAGAAATCTGGCCTGCTTTCTAAAGTCAGCCGTAAGTGAGTTGAATCTCTACCGTACTCAATCCATGTTTAGTTGTGGTACAAATGGCGCCTCGACGATCAAGATCTGTATGCGGTTGTTAAAAAGGTTGTTGTCGTTTTTCTATAAGAGTTGTTCATTTACAGGATCAAATCTTCGCCACAGTGAACCCGAATCAACGGCAGAGGAATTGATTTGAAAAACACTTTTGATAATGCAAAATGTATCCGATTACACACAAAAACTCTCTACAAAATACCCTGTAAACTGACCAAAAAATGAAAGAAAAAGCAAGGAATTCAAGAATGAAGTGTATTGCATTGAAATATCGCTAAAAATACTGTAAGAACCCGCATAAAATTAGAAAATCGATGTGTCAACCAGGAATGTCAAACAGTCAAATTATCAAAAATGGAAGGCTTGAGGTTTAGGGTAAAGAAATTTACAGTTAAAGTACAGTTTTCTACTGAACAATCAGCCTAGTGCCTTCCAGATCTTACAATTTACTCAAAAAATCGTCTAGAAGATGAACGGAGAGGTGGCCACGCTCGTGTACTTGATCGAGGTCACGAAGGGTGGAGAGCTAAAAAGTGATCTAGACACCGTAAAAAAGCTTCTTTTTGTAGCATGACATCCAGGATTTAGAAATTTGATCTTAAAAAAGCGAGTTAGCTGTTTTATAGTGTTTTATTGGACTTGAAGTCATAGAGAGAGCTAAATCTGCCATAAATAGTGATCAAGCTACAGTAACTCGATCTTTTTTTATGCTAACATCCAGTATTTAGATATCAGTGGGATTTTTTGGCCATCATGCTTTTTTGACGATATTTCACCTGGGTCTCGTTTGCTCCAACGGCGAGAAACTCGTAAATCATTGATCGATAGATTTGAGTGGCTGTTTTTGTGTCATCTGAACGATTTGTGATTGTTCCCTTGCCGTAATCCTTGCTTCAAGCCCAAATGCTGATTTTTTAAAACAATTACCGCCGCCGTTCCCCTTCTCGACAACATCATCAAAGTCGACGAATAACGGGATTAGTTCGGTGTTGAGAACGAACTGAAATTTGAAATTTTCTTGAAATTTCTTCGATCTGGAGCTCACAGCAGTATTTCACGAACTTGTTGCCTTCGAAAGTCCCGAAAATCGATCTCGGAGTTGCGGAGGAGGAAACCGGTGATCTGATGGACGATGGCGATCCGTTGCTGTAAAGTGACAGCCAGCAGGGATAAAGTAGTCACTGGCTGGCCTCTTTCAATCAAAATCGAGTAGTTATCCAGCTCGGCACAGTAGGAGAACAGCTAGAAATGGAAACCGGATGAAAAATATCGTTTTCCAGTTTAACTTGTACAGATTTCATTTTCAAAGCCATTTATCACCCCGAATAAGATAGAATTCCCAAAGCGAGTTTCGAGCTTAAAACTTTTAGAATAAGCCTTGTGCGTTCCAGAATGAACTTTGAATTCGAAATCGACCCACGTTAGGCACATTCGGGTCATTTTCTAGCCGTTTGAGCCAGAGGATTTCGCGGAGGAAAGACTCCCGAAGCTGCAATTGGCAGAGTTTCTCCTGGAAACGGGTTTTTTAAGTGTCGTGTGTTCTAGATCGGCTAAATCTGTAGAAAAATTCCCGTACCGAGTCGATTTTCGTGAAAAATTTCTTCTGACAAAGGCGCATCGAGTGGCCGCTGAGGTGCGGGGTTTTTAGAGCAAATTCCTCAAAAGAGTAGACTCGTTTATTCCATCCCCTCGCCCAAAACGGGATATTTTGAGATAATTGATTGATCGATGCATTGGATTGAGGCTAAAAAACAGTAGATCTTGTAATCTAGGTCTTGTAATTAGTGCGGCAAAAAAATGTGAATTTTCGCCTTTTCTTTGTTTAGATTCTTTTAACATTAGTATATTGTCGTAAAAAAGCTGTTAAAAAGACCAACCATTTAGGCCAGGTATTCTTAATCCGTGACTTGTTTTGATTAACGAAGCGCCAAGTGGAAACACGAGTGAATCTAAATTGGTTTCATTTAGCTTTAAGAGTGATTTGGATGAAATTGGAGGGTTAGAAGAGAAGTTTTTAAGGTTTTTAGAGAGGCCTAGAGCTGAGTTTTCGATAATCTTCAAAAGAATGGCAAAGTTCGTTGCTTGGACCGTTACAAAACTTAAATGTAGCCAATATTAAGCACTTCATCATTTTCATACAATATTTAACACATTAGGGTTGAAATTGGCGCTTGGGAGCTATGAGAAAGAAGTCGCCGTAAATACTGAACACCTTGTGAGCTTATTGTTAGGTAGTTCTGGCCTGAGCACCCAAAATTGCATGCCGGCGCTGGCTGGAAGCTCAATACGGTCAGACAGTCTTGAGCCTGGCTTCTGACCTGGCTAACTGATCCTGAGGCTCGGTTGGCAAATCTCTGATGATCAGCAATAATAAATGAGCCGAGCCGAGTTGATGCCGATTTTACGGTTTCCAAGCTTTGCACAGAAGCTCAACACTCTAATCCCTCACAAGATTTCATCGTCAAATACATTTTCCAACCCCACATCGATAGATTCTAATAAGGGATTTTCGAGACTTCGAGCAATTTGGGGTGCACTAGGGAATCTAAAATCTGAAAACCGACCTGCCAACTGGAAATACTCATCCTCCAGCCACAAAGCGACTTTCCAGAGATCTTTTCGATAGTTAATTGCCAGTAGGGAAACAAGAATAATCAGAAAAATGATTTCTTTGCCCATTTCTTCAACATTTTTCAGCTGTTTTACATATCTGAAAGTTGAAAATGGAGGAAAAAATAGCGGCAAAAGCATAAATAGATTTTTCGGGTTTTTAGCTGAGAGAAATGGATATTTTGACCGACAAACGGACTTTTCAGCAAATCCCCAGGGATTTTCAAGTAAAGAAAACGAGGCGGCGATGAAAAATTGCGAAAAAAATTGACAGAATCGAGAAAAAGGCTTCAACAATCGAGTGGCAGAGTCAATTCTCGAATATAAATTGCAAATTTTCTCATAAACTGTAGTTTCCTTGCCAGTTTGCATTCGATTAACTCAATTTTGAGCCCAATTCATCAAATTTTGTTATTCCTTTGTCAAATGTGACTAAAATTAAGCTGATCAAATGGAAATCGGCGGTCAGATTCCAGTAGTTTTTGTGTAAAGAAGAATTTGAAAGAAGCTAGAGTGGCTCGCTAATCTAAACCGCTTTCAGTTTTCAATCTAAACTGCTTCCCTAAATCGTTCTCAACTCTCCAATAGCCTGTTTAAGTCTATATTTGGGAATTTTCTAGGCTTTTTAAACTAAAACCGAGAACGGGTGCAGGTACAGACAACTAGATTAAGCCATAAACTATTCGGTTGGCCAATAGTCAATTTCAAAAAGAAATCTTTTGTTCAATAAAGCGAGCCTAAATCAAAACAAAATAGTTTTCATCTTTTTCAAGGAACTTTCTCCTATTTTACCTAGTAGAATGAGAATTCTTCTTGCGTCAATTTTTGAATCTTTGATTTCTTTGATTCCTTTGTTTCCTTTGAATCTTTGAATCAAAAATCTTTGATGTTGAGTCTACTAAAGTCTTTACTAATTCTGTACCCATTTTTTGGTATCTTTTTCAGCTTCAAAGTGCTCTAGGCTGATCAAAATGAATGGTAATCTGATGTTAGATCTGAGGAGTATGCTGACTAACGAAGAAGTTCTCAGTCCAGGATCTTGATTGTTCTTGGTTGCTTTAATATCCGACATTTCTCCAATAGTTAGGCTAGTTATTTTCTAAATACTGTGATCTTAGTGATCTTGACGAAAGAGCTGAGGCTAGGATATAAAAACGAGCAAGAGCAACAAGACTTCAACAGCGAATGAGTTAGATTAGATGAAGATTGGAGTTGGGTCGAGTTGGATCGAGTTGGATCAAGATTTCAACAGTTCTGCAGTAAAGGGAAAGGCTAGAAAAGCAATAAATCTCTCTAAATCGGTAATAAATTCAAAGAAGTGTCAGGGTTTGCGGGTAAATGGCTAAAAATATCAATAGAGTCAAAATTTAGAGGCTAGGAGTCGCGCCCGATTTTCCCAAAGGAGACATCAATCACCCAGGGAAATCACAAATCGTGAAGAGAAAGGAAGAAGGGAAGAAGGGAAGTGGTCGATTGACTTTGACTGAATTTTTTAATGAATTGGTAGAGACTTGGAAACGGTAACGATTCTATACATATTGTCAAAATCGAGAATTGTTTGAAAAGCGAAAAGCGGCCATCGAGTAGCAATCAAATTTAGCCGAAAAAAACAGAAAACCCTATTCAAATGTCACTAGGAATAGTTAGATTAACTTTTCGAAAAGACAACACTCTTTTTTACACCCAAGAAGCGATCGAATCTCGGATCGGCCCTTCTCGAGATCGTTCAATCAAAACAACTGTCGCCGGCGCTCTCGATCAAGCAACAAAATAAGTTTTCTTTTTAGAGTTCTTTCTAAAGTGCTTTTTAAGCGCTGATTATCCAATGCGCTCCAGAATCCACGAAAAAGTATGTAAATTCTCGATCGAATCAAAAATTTTCAAGAAAATCTCTTGCTCTCTTTCAACCATGATAAGCTAAAATTTCAAAAATCGTCTTTCAAAGTAAATAGTTAAATTTAAAGCTACTGTGACATCCAACTAGACGAATGGCTAACGGTGGGTGACAAATTTCTCGATTTTCAGGCAGAAATTGGCGAGGAAAAGACAAGGAGTGGAATTGGCGGGCAAAAAGCAAAAAGGGGCATAATTTGATGAACTAGATGGGGGAAAGGGGGATGGTTTATCATTTTTGAAGCAAATGGAGGCAGGCGAGGGGTGGGGGTGGTTATCTGTTGTTGGATCTACAACAGGCATCCCCGCGGTTCCAAAAAAAAGGCGCAAAACCAAAATAATCACTTTTTCAGCTCAAGTGCGTTCCAAAACAAGTCTGCAAAAGTTTTTAGGATACCTTTTTGAATCCATAGCGCAGGAAATCGTTCAAACTCTTCCCTACCAGAACTCGAATTTTTAAAAATCGCAAAAAATCCCTATTTCTTAACATTTTCTTAATCAATGACATCCATAATTCGTAAAATGTTTTAAAAAATTGGGAAATTCTTTAAGCAAAAACGTTTCTCGGGGTTGATCTTTATTTGGATAGGAAAAAGAAACAGAAAAGGTCATTTCTCAACTCGAAACTGCTTCGAAATGAAATATTGCCCTTGAAAATCGGGGAATAGTCAAGAAAACAAAGAGGAAATGGGCAAAATGGGCAGAAGTTGAGGGTTGGGTTTTTTTTTTTTTTTTTTTTTTTTTTTTTTTTTTTGACCCAAAAAACCCGAAAAGGGATAATTTTCGTTTTTTTCGAGATGCGTAAACAAGTCGATAGAATTTATCAGTGATTGGAAGTGAAAATTTATGAGTCCAATAGCAAATTCTCTTGCTTATCACCGATTCTCGTGTCATCACAAAGGGGCATCATTGTCTGAAGAAAAAAAGGGGAGAAGGGAAAGGGGAAGGGAAAGCGAAAGAGAAAGAGAAAATCACAGATTAAGTCCAACAGATCGTAATTCTTAGAAGCTAGACAAAGATCGATCATCAAATTTCACGTACATCTTTCAAATCGTTGATCGTCGGCAGATCACAGAATTCAACAATCACTCGTGACTCCCAAATCAGACTTGATTCTGCAATTGATCATTTTCGACAATTTCCAGGGCCATCATTCGCATCCCGAAGCAATTTCAAAACGATGAGAATGTTCTAATAATCGCCGCGTATCAATACGAACTTTGGGCAACTGGCGATCCCGACCAATCTGGCCCCATTTTATTTTCTATTCCTTCGAACAGCGTTCAGTTTTCATGAGAGGCCCTTCTCGTCTTACTAGGCCCAGATTTCTGTCAAATGCAAGGTCAGGGTCAGAAATGGGATTCCCTCAGAAGATTTTTGCTTGAGTTCAATTCCATCCTTTGTTTTTCTTTTTATTTGACCATCCAAGACTTAAGATTGTTTTAGTTTTCGATTTCAGGAAGTATCACAATGAATTTTTAGTATCGAGGTTTATGAACAAAATTGAACATTTACAGCTCAACATTGATGATAAAAAGTAAGTAACAAACAAAACCGTTGTTCCCTTCCACAAAAAGGACAGAATAAACGATCTTTCACAACACCTATTTTCTGCACAATCCGTGCTGGCGATTTCTTTTAGGAAAGCAGAAAGAGAGTCTATTCTAGAATTCTTATTTATAGAATTCAATATAAAACTTGGGTATGATGCCACGTGAAATATAAAAATAAAACAAAGTTAAGTGTTGAAAGACCAAAAGTCATCCAAAAGTTCACCTTAAGTGGGTGCACTTCCCTTGTGGGAATTTCGTGTAACAAAATGGTAAGCAAGATTCTGTTAATTGAAACGTGTGAACAACCAAAAGTCAAAAAGCACACCGTACATTTGAAAACTGTAGGCCGAAAGCCAGAGCTTTTGTCGGAGTGAATTTTCATCTGCGGAATCGTATTCATTGAGGGAGTTTCGCAGTTGACCTGGGTTGCTTTTTTGCCAATATCAGTTGCTTGTGCAGTTTATTTAGATTTAAACCGGTAAGATGTAGGTTCTTGAATCTTGAAATCGAGCAAATAAAGATTGATACGGACTAAAAATAATCACAGGACTTTATGCGGACTAAAAGTAATCGAACGTTGACAACAACCAACCAACTAATTTGAAGGGATAGAAATTTTGAAAGATAGTTTGCACTTGATGATTCTGAAACATTCAAGAAGGTCAATGACTAGCAGCAGGTTAATGGAAAAAGGTTCACAAAATCAAGACTATGGCATAAAAGTATATAAAATGTGGGCAATCATTGAAACGAAATCACAAGCAATGAAAGTTCCCAAAAAATGGAAAAACCGACAGAATTCTTCGGAAAATCACAATAGGGAAAGAGCAAAAATACAAATATACCTATGGATATGATGCGTCAAAATCGATCCAGACGAGCTTTGTGGCCCAAGGTCCGTAACGCTCAACCAATCCAACCGCGCAGACAAGCAATGTTTCAGTGGCTTTGAGATCCAGAATACAATTCTGATATTGAAGACGAATAAGGTCACGAACAAATTTACCTAAAAATGAAAAATTCTTGCATGGTTGATAAAAAATTAACAACAGAATACTTAACCATCAACATATTTCTAAGCTCGAATCGTCAATGAATCATGTTATTTAGTTATAAACTCCAGTGTAAATAAAAACTAAAAGTCCGGATTTTGTGTCCTATAGTCCTATAGGTAATTTAAAACAGCATACCTTTGTCCACATCCCACAGCTTCACCGAGCCATCAATCGAACCTGTCACCAAAAGTCCGGAGTCGAGCAATTGCAAGGAAGTGATGTTCGACGTATGACCATTTCGGCCATGTAAGTGGTGAAGGCATGAGCCACCCTCACGAATGTCCCAAACCTAAAGAAAAGGAAGTAGTTTTCATAGGCTTGATTAAACATACCCAAATGTCCGAGTCGTAACAGGAGACCAAAGTGTTTCCGCGAAGCTGCATCCGAAAGTTCCGATAATCTTCGAACCTGAACCCTTGAAGAAAGTCAAGATGTGTGATGCATGCTGAAAGAAACAAATATAGATGACATTGTAACAGAATATTCAACAAGTAAAAGCCACTTCCTCTTTGCACATCCCAGACGCGAATCCTCCCGTCACGACTACCCGACACGACAAGATCACGCTGTGACTCAAACTAAAGCAGAATCCAGTTTAAAGTCAAAATTTGAAAATTCAGCTTACCAAAAGTGAAAGGGTTATATCCGTGTGACCCGTCAACATGTGCAAGCACTCCCCCGTGTGTACATTCCAAACCTAATAGAATATTATAGATTGCACTAGTAACTGTACAAACATTTACGATATAATCACCGCCACTAGATACAACCCGCTCTCCATCAAATTGCACACAATTCTGAAATTTAGTTTAAGCTAAAACTTTGATACACATACCCTAGCATCGACAGCCAAAATGTGAAGGCATTTCCCGTCGACAATGTCCCAGACACGGAGCGTTTCATCAAGCGACCCAGAAACAAGACTAAAACATTATGACCTTTACTAAAGCAGAAAATTCAGATTACTCACGTTGTGCCATGTAGACTCATGCATGTAATCCAATCCGTATGTCCCTGCAAAACATGAAGCTGTGCACCGGTTTGACCACACCAAATGCGCACCGTCTCATCCTGCCCGCCACTGAAATATTACAATAGAATTTGTTGTCATAAGAATTTTTGTTTGAGTCTTTTTAGCTTCATTGGCAACTCTGATGAACTGCACTAGCTATAATCTATTAACTAACCAGACAATGTATTTGCCATCTTCGCTCACTTGATACGACGAAGGCTGACCATTCTGACCAGTTAGAGTAAAAGCCGGCTAAATTCGGACGTACAATAACAATTAAACAAAATAAACTTGAGCATCTTCAACATTCCAGACCCGCAACTTATCATCATGAGAACCAGTAATGATAAGACCAGGGTGAGCTTGTAGAGAAATTGCGTATTTAAAGTCATCCTAAAAACCATCTTTTCGGTCAAACCATTTATTCAAACCTCCAGAACAGTGCTCGATTGAATCGCCCGGGATCGCCAATTCGAAATGATTCGCTTCTTTCGCAAGTACAGCGACTTCCATGGCGAACGCTCATAACATCTAGAAAAAAATTCATTTCGCAACAAGTTGGGTCACTAACTCCCCATATGCTATCTCGCGTGCTTGTCGATTTTGCTGTGCTTCTTGAACGTCCATATGTGAACAGATTGTGATTCCCGTTTGCTTATTTGCTCGATTCGTCGCCCGACCTCCGAGAAAACGAAAACTAAAAAAACAGGTTTGAGACGAGTCTTTTAACAATCAATTTCCTAAATATGAACCAGTTCATTTAAACAAACATTATCATGTTTTCTTTCGCTTTACATCTTTGTTGGCTTTGGAATTAATAACATTATTGTCCTAAAAAAGCAAGTTTGAGACGAGTCTTTTTACAATCGATTTGCTAAATATGAACCAGTTCATCTAAATAGACATTATCATATGTTTTCTCTCGCTTTATATCCTTGTTTCCTTTGGAATGAATAACATTACTGTCCGATATTCTACAAGTCTTAAAATCTAGTTTAATATAAATCTATCAGATTTGTATTTTTAAGTGTTATATAATCTGTTCAAAACTGTAAGTGTGTTACAAACAAACATTACCATATGTTTTCTCTCGCTTTATATCATTGCTGCTTTAAAATTAATAACTTTATTGTCCTAGATCTTACAATTCTTCAAATCTAGTTTAATAAAAATCTATCAGAGATGTACTTTTAAGTGTTATATTATCGGCTCAAAACTGTAACAAACCTTGGCGCATCAAATTTCACATATCCTCTCTCCAAACATTTTTGTCGCCACGTCCGATCATCTTCACAAAGCCGCCGCCACGCCCGCGAAACGCCAGCACAAGTCATCAAATCGCACGGTGTCAAATAGGCAAGGATACGATAAGCAATCTAAAAATAAACAATTACTCCCACAAGCTTTATCAAACCTCCTCTGGCAATTGTGCCAAGAAGTCCTTTTGGAACAGTTCGCTGAGATGCCTGAATTTGAAAATTTCACTGTTTAAGGTCATTCTCTTTACCTCATCAACCGAACTAGTGGCTCGGAGAGTGCTCCGACCAGGCTTTGAACGGCAAAGCTCTGTTGAGGCAGAGACTCAACAGCTTCTGTCAAGGCTTTTATCTTTTCTGCCGTATTTGCATCACCAGCAACTAAGAGCGCGTTCCGGTCGACGAGAAGTTTCTTGGCTTGTTCTCGGCTCTCGTCGCTCCCTTCCTCGAGCAGCTCCAACAGCTTTTGGTTTTCCACTTGGATGTTGACCGGCGTTGCGAGCACGGGTGATGGCTTTGAATCGGGCTTCAGCTTTGCCGACAGTTTCTCCAGTAGATCCGCTTTCAAAGTTTCGAGTTGAGTCTTGCTGCTCTCCGGCTTGTTCGACATCGACCCTAAATGAAAAATTACAGCAAAGATAACACCGTAAATAATAAAACAAAAAAAAAACCCGAAGACAAGACTACTACTAGCTACTCTAAATATTGTAAATACTGTGAACGGGGGCGAAGAATTGTTCATTCGTCATTTTTAGACGTAAAGCTTGTTTTGCGTTCTAACACAAAGTTTTCAGCGCTAAATTTATTTAATTTGACTATAATTGTAAATAAAGCACCAAAAACACCTTAAAATAGCTTAAAATCCCTTGCTACCATCCGGTTGAACAAAGATTTTTGGGGAAGGACGGCATTTTTTAAGCAGCACACTGTATTTTAAATTTGCACAATTTAGTGGGTAGTTTGAAAGTAATTGGTGTATTTTTTGAGCAGCACATTTTAGTGGGTAGTTTTAGTTGGTGTATCGTAAATTATGATACACTTTATTTATAAGGGAGGACCTCCACTTTGAGGCCCTAATCTCGAAATGGTTTTCAACACCGATTCATGCTTGGGCACGCTTTTAATGTATTAGCAACAGGGGACTAAATCAAAAGATCGCCGCTAAAAGAGCGCCATTTAAATGAGCGCCAATGCAAAAAATGCTTAAAAGAGCGCGAATAGATTTTTGCGACTAGAATGTTTCGGATCTGGCTAGTTCCGAGTTTTTTTTCTTTTTTTCTCTAAAAGATCTGTGCATGGTATAAAATGTAGCTAAACTAGTTTACCGTCAATACTGTAATAGTACCCCACCCCAATAATGACGGTGCGAAGTGTTGCGTAGTCTAGCTTTGAACGCGTTTTCCTCGACACTGGTTTATGCTACAGTGCCCGCTTAGGTATCAAAAAATAGTCCTGAATTTCAGGGCTATTTTTTCATACCAAAGCGCATTTTTTGAAAGTACGGGCGCTTTAAAAAAATGAAATACTAAAAAACTTTTGCAACTACGCGACTGTACGAGGGGTGTGGGGTACTATTACAGTATTTACGGTAAGTATTCTTATTACTAAGTAGTATTGATGATCCAAATCTATGCACAAGGTATCCAGTTGCACAATTGCTATCATCCAATTGCCCAAATCGTTTTCAGACTTCGCGGTGAGCAATGTCTGTGCAAGGGTGATCTTTGCAATTCCACATCGTCAACCCAACAACAAGCGGCTTTACAAGCGCTCCATTGCTTTTGAGCTTTTTAAACCTATCATCGATTTGATCTATGCACGGACTCTATTGCATTGGCAATAGCGGCTTTTTGAAGTTGAGGGTTCTCATAATAATTTTTCAGATTTGTCAAAAATTTTCCAACAGTTATGCCAACTTTCGTGGCTACCATCAAAATCGGGTATGTTTAACTGAAAGTAACCTCGTTGAAGTTGAGCCATTCCTCCTCTCGCATCGTCTGATCCATTAGCGCTCGCATTTGCTGCAATTGATGGGGGGCATTGGATGTCCTTCGCACTTGGCTGTCCAATCGTGACCACCATAACTTTGTTGACTTTTTCGAATTTTTCACGAGCTTGCTTCATAGCCAATTCCAAATTAAACGTTAGGTCAAGTAACTTTTCATAATCCTCATCTTTCCTCTCAAGGTATTCTCCGCATTCTTCAACTTCTTCGGGAGTGAAATTTTGAAATCTCTATCTCGAATTTCATCTACTCTTTCCTTGTAGTCATTCATTTTCGCTACGTCAGTATCTGACTGCGTTAGCAATTTTTCAATTTTTCCGGGGATATTTTCAACCTCCAAATCTCGAATAAGCTTTAACCAACTTTCCTCAAATACTAGGCCACTATTTAGAGCTCTAGTCATTTGGGCTTTGGCACGAGTTATCAACTTCTGTGCCATTGCGAACTTTCCCTTGCGTAATTTCCCGGCTTGCGTGTAAGAAATATATTTATACTTTGATCTTTATAATTTCTTGTAAGATCGTGTCTCGGTACGGTTCCATGGTAGATGTCTTGAAAACGCACAATTTATCAAAACTTTTCCTTATTAGGGAAAACTTCGCTCCAACTGGAGCAACCTGGCACTATCACAACTACTTCAACACTTGCGTGTGAAAAAGAATGAAGTAGAAAAAAGGAGCCCACAACTGACTCAAGACAAAGCTTAAATAGTGGGTTTTTAAGTACACAAGATACGCCAAAGGGACAACTGAATATCGTCTAGTGGCTGATTACGGTAGTTTATCCATCAACTTTGAATTTTAACTGAATTTTAACCCTCTGGCCTTCTCTATTTTCTTTGTCTGCCAACCTCTGATCTTGTGGATTGGCCTTCTCAAGATCTAAACAGCGGCATCAGTGATTCGAAAGTTTGCGAAATCTCAACATCTCTCAGCGTTGCCAACCCAACAATGCCAATATAAAGCATGAAACGCTGCGTGCAATTCGTGTTCTTGTGATAGATCGATACTAAAAGACTGTTAAAGAAAGGCTAATTGCAAGATTTGGCCTTAAATGCTCAGACCAAATGCCCAATGCGAAAGAGTCAAGTTGATTCCTTTTGTTCATTCTAGGCCAAGCCGAAGCCAAGGTTTTAAGCCAATTCAATGGTAAGGCTGAAAAGTCAGGCAAATACCTATTGAAAACGATTGTTTTTGGCTTCAATTTGGCTTTTTCAAAGAGTCTTCAAAGTATTTGCCTTTCCCATTGACAATCCCACTTTAAGCTCGAATATCTTGGTGTTTAGCTATTTAATTTTGGTTTCATTAGATGCGCCCAGTCTTTCTCTATCGATTCGTATAAAAACTATTGAAATTCGTTGGCCCAATTCAAAGAAATTTGAGCTTAAAGTTCGATTACCATGATCGGAATCGGAAACATAATGACTGCAATGGTCGACAGCTTTTTGACCTTACTAGCGCCAAAAATCGAAAACAAGAGTCGAGAAGATAAACGTCTGGACCTGGCCTTTCCATTCTGACTGAGCTAATAAGGGGATTAAGATGTAGACTTGGCTATTGATCTTCTTTTTAAAATAATCACTATTTATCAAGATCTTCATTGAACTGGTGATAAAGATTGATCACTAAACGCCGAGGCTTATGCCAAATTTTGGCTCCTATAATGCTAAATTCCCACTTCTACACTGGCTAGACCCTAGCTTTAAAGTCAAAATGTAAAATAAGGAAGTCAATTTTCGCCGACCGCAGCTCCAACACCCGAGCGGGGCTTTAAATTCTGCCGATAAACTTCACCTTACCTACGAGTTGTGCACAAAAGGGTATTTCGTGGCTGAAGTGCTAAAAAGCGCAATGGAATCGAGTTTTTGAGCCGTGAAGCCACCAACGATGATTTTGTGTACATTCTACCGTAAACCTCTTTCTAATACGTGCTCCTTTCGTATATTTAAGGAGACTTTTTGCCATAAATTTCATTTCATTCAACTCGTTCAACAGGTGTATATGCCGTAAATACTGTGATAGTACCCCACCGGCCTCTAGTGCGTGCCACACTGGTGGGGTACTCTTACCGTGTTTACGGTAGTTAGTAATGGTATTTTGTTCGGGACTTTTCCTTATATTAATTACGTATTTTGTATTGGTTTATAAACAAGATTAAACATTTACAACTCAACATTGATGATAAAAAATGAAGTAACAAACAAAACAGTTGTTACCATCCACAAAAAAAACAGAATAAACGATCTTTCACAACGATCACAATAAGACCTAGGGAAATAGCAAAAATACCTATGGATATGATGCGTCAAAATCGATGAAGATGAGCTTTGTGGCCTCGGTCCTATCTACCGATCGAACTCCACATACGAGCGATGTTTCAGTGGCTCTGAGATCCCAATTATAAGGGCCAGGGTCACTCGAACGAGATCGAACGAGATCACGAATGAAGGTACCTTAAAATGGAAAAAAATTAACAACACGACACTAAACTTTGCCATAGATTTAAGCTTGACTAGCTGACGAGACAAGTTATGTAGTGAATCCATTCTACTTTCAATGCCAGCTTGCAGTCTGGATCTTATTGTCTATAGCATTGAGTAATTTAAAATCGCCACCTTTCTCCACATCCCACAGCATGACCGAGCCATTCATCGAACCTGTCACCAAAAGTCCGGAGTCGAGCAGTTGCAATGAAGTGATCTTCGACGTCTGACCATTTAAGTGGTGAAGGCACGAGCCACCCTCACGAATGTCCCAAACCTAAAGAAATTGAAGTAGTTTTCATAGGCTTGATTAAACATACCCAAACTTCCGAGTCGTAATAGGAGACTAAAATGTTTCCGCGAAGCTGCAACCCAAAGCGACGACCCGCAAACGGTAACTCTTCAAGACAGCCAAGAAGTGCGATGCATGCTGAAAGAAACAAATATAGATGACATTGTCACAGAATAGTGAAAAAGTAAAAACCACTTCCTGTTTGCACATCCCAGACGCGAAACGTTCCGTCACTACCCGCCACGACAAGATCGCGCTCTGGCTCAAACTAAAACAGAATCCTGATTAAAGCCAAAATTCGACAACTCAACTCACCAAAAGTGAAGCAACTAGACTCGTGTGACCGGTCAGCGTGTACAAACACTCCTCCGTGTGTACATTCCAAACCTAATAGAATATTATAAATAGCACTAATAACTGTACAAACCTTTACGGTAAAATCATCACTATTAGATCATCACATAAGTCTTTTAATGA